GAGCCTGACCCCTGCCACTATGAAGAACAAACTTGGTGTTGGCCAGATGGCTGGGGCACGGTGTTGTGGGCTCTCCAGGCAGCCTGAACCAAGACACCAGGGGTGGCAGCTTCTTTGTAGATGGTGCCTTCATGTCAGCACCTCAGCCGATTGATGATACCAGGTTATAAAACGGCCCCAGGAGAGCATGGCTGCTGTCTTTATGGGTTAGAGGCACTTTGTCCAGCTGGTTGGAGTGGGAACGTTATTTTTTTATGTTTTAAGAGGTAATCCTAGGAGCAGATGTATTATTATTGTGCTGCCTATCAACTTAGGCTGAGCAGACAAGACACCTCTTTGGCTACAGTCTCCATCAAGGCCAGCAGCCATCAGTTGAATGGACCAGGTTGAAGATGGCTTACGGGTTGTTTCTCTAGCTCACTTGCTGGCCAGGTGTCCTACTGAGCCAAAGCACTTGTTCAAATGAAATCTTATGAGGTTCTTCAGCGTAGAAGACAGGGAGCAGTAGAGTTGTTGTGAGCAGGGAGCCACCTAAGGGTTCTCTTAGGAACTCTCTGTAGGGCTCCTTAGAACACAGTTTGAGAACTGCTTGTTTGTTGGCAGATCGCTTGTCCAGCCTGTTTTGGGCGTTGGCTCCCAAGCCACTGCCAGCTCCCAGCTAGCAAACCTCGTGTGTGTGGATGTGTATGTGTGTGTAGGTTTACCCATTTGACTGTAACATGGGAGGAGGAGAGATGTGAAACAGCTCTGGTTGCTCAGAACATAGTTTCTCCCCTGGCTGTGCCTCTTGGAGGCCTAGTTGAAGGCAGAATACAGGATCGTTGAGCACAGTAACCCTTTCCCTGCTGTCAGGGCATGAGCTCACTCATACGCCACAAAAGGTGAAGCTGAGATCTGAAACCTGGCCGCCTGATTCCCACGGCCTGAGCCAGGGCGGGGGGTGTATGTGCAGAATCAGCAGCGTCCCCGCCTCCCAGGGCCGAGCGGAGAGCCCTCCTCCTTCCCACCTCCTATCCCGGCCGCCTTCCTTCCCCACAGGCACTGAAGTATGCCTTCCAGACCCACGACCGCCTGTGCTTCGTGATGGAGTACGCCAACGGTGGCGAGGTGAGCTGCGGCTGCCCCCTGGCTGCCTTTCTGGGTGTAGGGGGGCAGAGGGAGACTTGCTGGGTGTCATCTTGTTCCATCCGCCCCCCTCCCCTTGAGGCAGGCGTCACCATTTCTGTCGTGCAGGAGGGGAAACAGGCTCAGAGCAGTTAAGTGACTTGTCCAAGTTCCCACGGCTAGTGAGTTGGTAGGCAGGATGCAAACTGAGGTCCAGAAAGCTGTGCAGAGGGCTGTGTGGGTGGTTGGCCAACAGCGCTACGAGGACGTTCTTAAAGGCGCGGAGAAAGGGTCTGCGGGTCAGGATCCCCCGTTCCTCTGCTGTCAGTGCGGCCTCCTGATGAGAGCGCTCAGCCACTTGCTGTCACTCACCCGTCACCCGCTCCTCGCCCCTCACACCCTTCTCTCCACGCAGGTGTCACTCACTGGCTTCATTCTCTCCCATTTGGTCTCACAGCTTGTCACTTGCTCCTGAGTCGTGGTCCTCTGCTTGCTGGCTGTCGCTTCTCGTTCGCCTGCCCCCTCCTGCCACCCCCCTCACTCTCCACTCAGAGCCTGGTGTCTGTCCTTTGCTCTTTATCCCTTGCTCTTTTCTTCTTTCTCTTCTTTTTTTTGGCTCACGTGAGTTCTTCTCTACTCACCGCCCCTCACTTGGGCTTTCTTGCCGTCACTTGCCAGTTCGTGGGGCAGGTGTCACCTCATCAGTGGGCTGGGTGCCGGGGCCGCACATGGTCCCCTCCTCCCCTCCTCTGGGCCGGGGTCTCACCTCCCCTGCCTCCTCTGCTGGCAGCTGTTCTTCCACCTGTCCCGGGAACGCGTCTTCACGGAGGAGCGGGCCCGCTTTTATGGTGCGGAGATCGTCTCAGCCCTGGAGTACCTGCACTCGCGGGACGTGGTGTACCGTGACATCAAGGTGAGCGCGCCATCGCCTCCTGGCTGGGCAGGCGGTGCACAGGCCTTCTGCCCGTCTGCTGCCCGTCTGCTGAGCTTCCCCTTCCATGGAGGGTCTGTCTGTCTTGTCCTTCTCGGAGCTGAGCCTCCCACCCAGGCCCAAGGTGGGTGGTTCCACAGCAGGTGGCCCTGCGTGGGGCCCTTCCCGGCTTCCTGCTGTGCAGCCAGAGGATGTCAGTTGGTCCAAGCGCTTTAGAAGATGGCCCGGCTGAGCCCACCAACACCAGACACACGTGTCCCCTGTGAGACAGTCATTCTGCCTTAGGAGCATGCGCGGGAACAGGTGCCTGTGTCTGTCTCAATGTGGACGCACAAGCTCCTAGCGGCACTGTGTACACTGACCCCAAACTGGAAGCAACCCAAGTGTCCGTTGTCGGAAAGTGGGTAAAAGACATGAAGGTGTATCCACACAGTGGAACTCGCACAGCAGTTCAAGAGGACAAACTACAGCCACACACGATAGCCTGGGCGGGTCTCACGGGCTGAGGCTGAGGGGAAAGCCAGAACAGATGAGGTGAATCTGTATCGTTTACAGTGTATATATAGGTAGAAAAAATTTTTTAAAAGCAGAGAAGTAAAGTTCTTTCTGTGTTGGAGGAGGTGGTGGCTAATAACAGGGAAGGGGCACGTGGGGCTCCTAAGGGGCTGGTGGTGGTCTTTATTGACCTGGCGGGGGTTGCACAGAGGCCCACTCAAGTGCCCATTTGTGTTAAGTTTAGGAAAAAAGAGGAGAAAGAAAGATAGCGTTCCTTACGTCCACAGCGTGACAGCCGCCGCCCGCAGTGGCGGAAGCAGCTTGGGCAGGACCTGGCTCCTGTCTCTCCCTGCCCCGCTTTTTACCAGCTCCCTGGGGGCAGGGGGCGCTGGGGAGGTGTCGGGTCTGGCCTCCCCCTGAGCCTCGGAGGGCCTAACCGTCTGCTGGGGTGTGACCTCTGGTCCCCCCTGGAGCCCCTGGCACAGCTGCCACTACCCCAGGCCCCAGCCTCCTCCAGGGAAGGGCAGGGGTGTGTGGCGTTTCAGGGGTGGCAGGAAACCCTGAGGTACGTTGTGTCCCTGACTCACTGGCTTTTCCTACAGCTGGAAAACCTCATGCTGGACAAAGATGGCCACATCAAGATCACTGACTTCGGCCTGTGCAAAGAGGGCGTCAGTGACGGGGCCACCATGAAAACCTTCTGTGGGACCCCTGAATACCTGGCGCCCGAGGTGTCTGGGGCTGGAGGGCCCAGGGGCGTGTGAGGCCAAGGGAGGAGGGGGCCCTCAGACCTGTGTGTTTCCCCCACCCAGACCCTCTGAGGGCAGGGCTCCAATTCCTTAGGTGGCCCTCCCAGCCCTGGGCAGGGCCGTGCCCCCCTCGGGCCCCTCTCAGCGCCTTGGCCCCGGGGGATGTGGGCCTGGCCCCTCATCGCCCCCCCTTGCTCAGGTGCTGGAGGACAACGACTACGGCCGGGCGGTGGACTGGTGGGGGCTGGGCGTGGTCATGTACGAGATGATGTGCGGCCGCCTGCCCTTCTACAACCAGGACCACGAGCGCCTCTTCGAGCTCATCCTTATGGAGGAGATCCGCTTCCCGCGAACGCTCAGCCCTGAGGCCAAGTCCCTGCTTGCTGGGCTGCTTAAGAAGGACCCCAAGCAGAGGTGAGGGCTGGCGTCTGCCCTGCCCAGCCCAGTGTCACCTGCTGCCACTTCCCTCGGCCTGGAGGGGGCAGCGTCCACAGGTGCACTTGCCCGTGGGGTGCTTGGTGTGTGTTGATCGTCCCCACAGCTGGCACTTAGGGAGCACTCCCTTGGCTAGGCCTGTGCTTAGCCCTCTGGCCTCCCTGTCTTGTTTCATGGCGACACTGAGGAACAGGGTGGCCCTGTACCCAGCCTAGGGTGGCAGAGCCAGGATGTGAAGCGGCCGTCTGCCAAGCCCACCCTCTCAGCTCGCAGGATGTGACCCTGGGCACAGGAGCTCCCTCCCTGAGCCTCAGATTCCTCCTCTGTGAGGTGGTGGTCTGTGGCGGGACAGAATCATTAAAGGTTGTTCAGGGCCTGCACCGAAAGCCCGTCTCCCAGGACCCGGCTGCCCCGGGAGGCGGGTGCTGATGGCCGTCTCTGCCCAGGCTCGGCGGGGGGCCCAGTGATGCCGCGGAGGTCATGGAGCACAGGTTCTTCCTCAGTATCAACTGGCAGGACGTGGTGCAGAAGAAGGTGAGCCCACTGCCTGCCTGCTCCCCGCAGGAGCCCGGCCGCTCCTGGGTGACCTTGGCTGAGGCCTCCGCTTCTCAGGGACCTGAGCCTGGACTCGTCTTCTCCACAGCTCCTGCCACCCTTCAAACCTCAGGTCACATCTGAGGTTGACACAAGGTACTTTGACGACGAGTTCACCGCCCAGTCCATCACAATCACACCCCCGGACCGCTGTGAGTGTCTGAGGCCCCCTCTCCCTGTGGGCCTGGCTGGGCGGTGGAGGGGTGGGGTCTGCTCTTGGCCCAGTTCTCCAGGAGGAGGCTCACAGGTCCCCCTCCGTGTCTGGGCGTTTTACCCTGCAGTATGTTCGCCAGGGCTTTTGCCGTTGGCCCACCAGTGGACCTGGTGAGGGTCACCAGGAGCCATTGGCCGCAGCACTCAGGGGAGGGGTCTGGGCAGGAGACACTTGAGGAGTCATCAGTGCCTGTGGTTGTCTCCCAAGTTGCTCAGGTCTTTGGGGCTGGATGGGTTCAGTGATTCTGTAGCTGTTTGAGTTCTTTCTCTCACCTGCCCGGTGCTGGAGACACAGCCATGACGAGACAGCCCTGGGCCCGGCCCTCAGGGAGCTCAGAGTCCACGTGGGGTGACAGCCCAGAGTGATCAGGCCTGTGGTATTAGAAGTACAGGGTCTGGAGCAGCTCAGAGGAAATGCCTGACTTGGCCTGTGAGTCAGGGAGGGCTTCCTGGAGAAGGAGACATGGCAGCTGAGACTTGCTCTTGGCAGAAGGAGTGGCATATGGGACTCCCAGAAATGGGAGCATTGCAGAGGTCAGAATAGATGGGGGATGGGCGAGGGCATCAGGGCCAGAGCAGGAGGATATTGGGGGCCACTGAAGGAGTACGGATGTGTTGCACGGGGAGCCATGGAAGGGTCTTGGGCAGAGGAGGGAAGGCTTGCATCAGGGCTTTAGCAAGTACCCCCGCCTCGGCTGCATGTGGAGGGGAGGATTGCTGGGGGTAGGAGTGGCGCCCAGGGCAGGGGCTGGGCCACAGAAGTCTGGGCTGCACCCCGGTGTGGCCTGGGGCAGAGGAGCTGGGGGGAGCTCGGGAGGCTGAGTGAGCAGGCTGTGGGGCCTGTGGGCCAGGGCTCTGGCCCGGGGTGGAGCTGTGGCTGAGAGGAAGCCCCTCAGCCTCGGTCTGGTGGTCCCCGTTCTCGTTCTCGGGAACAGTGCGCCAGCTGGGGGTTGCACTGTGGTCTGGCTGCAGCCCTTCCTGGGGCTGGGTGGGGTGCTCGGGCCCCCTGCAGGCCGCTTCTCCCCAATCCACCTCCACCGACCCCTGCAGATGACAGCCTGGGCTCACTCGAACTGGACCAGCGGACCCACTTCCCCCAGTTCTCCTATTCGGCCAGCATCCGAGAGTGAGCAGAGTGAGCTGCCTGCCGCCGCCACCGCCACAGGACGCACGCGCGGCTATCGTCACCACCGGCGGGGGTGGGGGTGGGGGCTTTTTTTTAAAAAACTTTTTATTTTGCCTTTTTTGTTTGTGTCCCCATCCCTCACCTTCTGACCCCCATTTCCAGTTTTTTCTTCAGCCCTCTGCCAAACTCACCTCAGCGGTCCTAGTGGCCCTGCCTACAGGATCCTGTCCTGCCCTCACCTTTGTGCCCAGACCAGGATTTGGGAGACTCTCCAGTGCCTGCCCCAGGACCAGGCCTTTGGGCAGTTGGAGAGATGCCGGTTTTTAATCAACATGAAGCCCCAGTGAGGGGCGAAGCGTGGAGCCGTGGGGCCCGCCTGAACTTCTGGCTGGGGCGCCCACGGGCAGCCCTGCCTCTGGGTTGCTGCTTCTGTCAGAGGCTGCCTTGTGGTGGGCCGCCCGCTGGACAGAGCCCTGGTGCTGCCTTCCCTGTCCTGTCGTTAGGCGCGGAGTGCCCTGGCATGGGGCAATCCAGCCCCCTTCTCCCATGGGGGCAGAAAAGCAATAATGTCCAGGGATCGGGGGTGCGGCAGTAGGCGAGGGCCTTTGGAAGCCGCATGCAGGATTGGGGGTTCAGGACTCCCTCGTGGGGAGGGGGCCTGCTCTACCCTGTGGGGAACCGGGAGGGGGCCCAGGGGATGGGCGCTGCCTCCTGGCCCTGTCTTCCCCCATCCCCTAAGCTGCTCTTCTGACCCTGGGGATAAGGCAGGAGGAGCATCCGGGAGCTGGCTTCCCCACCCACCAGCCCCGTGCCTTACCTCCTGCTGGAGCCCGGGCCTGGCCCTGCCCCTTCTGAGGATGGGGGCCGGGATCTCCCCCTTCTCTCTGCCTGGGGCGGAGGGGCGCCAGCCTCGGCTGTTACACATCTCGCACCGAGACAGTATTGGGCCCGGTGGACTTGGGTCGAAGAGTGGGTGGGGCTGGGTGTCTGGTACGAACCGAGGTAGGGGCCTCTGAGAAGGGAGGCTCCAGGCCACCTCACTCCTTCCCCCTCTCCGGGCCCCGCGTTCTGCAGCCTTAAGGTGAACGTGTCAGTGCTGTGGGCACTCAACGTGCGTGCCTCAGGCTGTGTGTGTCTGTGGGCGTGCCTGTGCATCTGCGATGCAGGTGCACATGGGGTGTGTGTGCGTGCATGTGTGTTGGGTATGTGTGTGCGAGGGCGAGTCCCGGCCTCGAGTGTGCGTGGTGTGTGTGGGCTCGGGCCCCGCCCCTGGCTCAAGCATTTCAACCCGAGGGGGAGGGGTGCTAGCCTAGCAGGGGAGCCACACCTGAGGTCCACTTGTTGCCCTGTCCCCCCTGCCCCGTTCCCCCCAGCATCTCTGAGGTTTGGGATTTAGTTTCTGTGGTTTTGATCACCCCAGCCCACCTTCTGTAGGTAGGTCACAGAGAGACATTCTGGGGTGGGGTGGGGGGGTTGGTTTGGGTGGGTGGGTTCTGACCTTTCCTGTCTGTGTGTGTATGTCGTTAACCTGACAGTTCTCCCTCCTCCCACCGGCCTGTCCCCATCCCTCGTGTTTGTACGGTACAAGCAATAAAGACACATTTCAGCCTGGGGCCCAACCCCCGGGCCTTGCCTTGCTTCCGGAGTCTGGCCCCGGGCATCAGCTGCCTCCTGCTCCCATCCTTCTGGTCCCAGGGCCTGGTGAGCCACGAGGAGGGGGTGAGGTGTGCTCAAGCTCAGGGTGGAGGGTGGGGGCCGTTGGGCGGAAGCTGCCGAAGAGTTTGGGCAAGGCGCCTGGGTCGGGGGTACAGTGGACAGAGACCATTGCAGTCCCTCGGAAGCTGCTTGGGAAAAAAGAGGTGGGGTGGAGAGATGGGGGTGGAAGGGGTGCGAGGTGTCGCTGGGCCCTGGAGTGGGTGTGGGAGGGAGAGGACTCATTTCCTGTGGCCCTTGAGCCCTGGAAGGGGGCACTGCCTGCTCACCCCATCTTACCTATGGCCCCCAATTCTGATACACAACCCTTGGTGGATCAATGGGATGTGTGGTGGCGGTCGGCTGGGAGCACCTCAGGTTGGGTTACAGCCTTCACAGCTCTGGGACCCCTCTGGCACCTGTCCCTTTAATCCTGGAGTTACCATGCTTGAGTCACTCCTCTCAGACCCCAGGGCCAGGGTTGCCCCTGCGGAGCCCCGGCACAGGTGAATTTAACGTCAGATTTTGCCGGAAGGTGTAGGCCTTCACACACACGGAGGCTTTGAGATTGTAAATGGGGGTAGAGGAAAAGTCAGATGCTACAACCGAGACTCAAGGAATTTTTTTTGTTTTCTAACTTCATATGGACTTTATTATGAATTGAGTTACAAAAGTATGTCCTGGTGGTCATATGATAAACGTCAGAGAGGCTTATAAAGAAAAGCCTTTTAAAAGCAACTATACTCCAATAAAAATTAATTGAAAAGAAAAGCCTTTTACTCTTCCCTCTTGTCCAGCCCCTGGAGGTGACCGGTGCTAGATTTTCTTGTCACACCACACTGTCACTCAGACCTTCGTGTGGGTCCACCCCCGTATCTACCTCAGCCAGTTAGTGGTTGTCTTAACAGTCCACGGAGGCCTCCCACGGGTTCCTCCGCTGCTGCCCTCAGTTGAATGTGTATCTGTAGATGCAGTGGTGCTTCTTATTTCGGTAGGAGAACTTTTCCCAAATAGGGAGTTTTAGAGGGGAGTGTTTTAATAAATTTTACCAATTAGGAAAATTAAATTTTGACTAGATCTGTCTTTTGTCATGTGCATTTAGACAGTTTCACAAGTTTTGTGAAAGGAGGAGGAAACTCAAAACCGCCCCCAGGCCTTGAGTGGGTCATTCTGGTCCTCATGTTACCCCTGTGCCAGTGGACACAGTGCCGTGAAAGGCTGTCCCTCTGTCTGCGTAACTCTTTCCTCCCAGCTGAGGTCGTCAAGCTGCTGGGCTCTATACTGCTGCATCTTACCCCCCCCCCCCCCCCCCCCCCCGCCACTCTGCAACCTCCAACTCTTACTGTGAGCCTCTGATAAGGCTAAAGAAGATTCCTCTGGTCAGTTGTACACACACACACACACACACACACACACACACACACACACACAAGATATA